AATTTGTTGTATACAATTGTTTCTGACATTCTCTTACTGACATTCTCTTTATTTCTTCCAGGTCTATAATAGTGTCCTGTCTTTTGTTTCTTGTTTTAGTAATTTAAGTCTGCCCTCTTTTCCTTTCTGTCAGTCTTGCTAAAGATTGTTCAGTTTTATTGATTCTCCTCTGTCATAGTTCATAAAGACATAAGCAGGCCTGTGTTTTCCAATGACCTCCCCCCAGAGTCCTGCCATGCCCCATAGGCCACCTCTTCCCTCTGCTGCTGTGGGCAGGGCCCCTGTTTCTCCTGCCTCTAGCAGAGCAGTTCTGTTTCTGCTTGTTTGATGTCACCCTGTAAAATTTCAACTGAAAAGTTGGTTCACTGCTGAAGCAATCTCTTTTACACTGCTCAGTGAGACCCCACAGAACAAAATGGGCTGTGTGCATTAATAGTGATACAGAAAGAATAATCTTGAGATGATACAGTTGCAAAAGGTACTTGAGTATAATGATAGTGTCAGTATAAAATGTGCACATGTACAAAATACTACTGTGTTGCCTTGAGATCCCTTACTCTTCAGTGAAAGTGTAAACACCTTCGTGGGACTTGTAAATGTCAAGTACAAGTTAGTACTTGCCTCTGAGGAGGCGGGGAGGGAGGTAGAACTAGGGAGGGCTTCAACTCTGTTGTCTAACAGAATGTTAGGAGGCACTAAAACACTGGGTGGTCATTCGCTGGTAAATGGATGGAATTGGAGAACATCATTCTGAGTGAGGTTAGCCTGGCCCAAAAGACCAAAAATTGTATGTTCTCCCTCATATGCGGACATTAGATCAAGGGCAAACACAACAAGGGGATTGGACTTTGATCACATGATAAAGCGAGAGCACACAAGGAAGGTATGAGGATAGGTAAGACACCTAAAAAACTAGTTAGCATTTGTTGCCCTCAACGCAGGGAAACTAAAGCAGATACTTTAAAGCAACTGAGGCCAATAGGAGAAGGGGACCAGGAACTAGAGAAAAGGTTAGATCAAGAAGAATTAACCTAGAAGGTAACACCCACGCACAGGAAATCAATGTGAGTCAACTCCCTGTATAGCTATCCTTATCTCAACCAGCAAAAACCCTTGTTCCTTCCTATTATTGCTTATACTCTCTCTCTCAAAAAATTAGAGATAAGGGCAAAAAGTTTCTGCCGGGTAGTAGGGGGTAGGGGGGAAGAGGGAGGGGTAGGGGGGAAGAGGGAGGTGGGGGTAAGGGAGGGAGTGGGGGAAGGGGGGAGAAATGACCCAAACATTGTATGCGCATGTGAATAAAATAAAAATTAAAAAAAAAATGAGAACAACAACCAAAAACAAAACACTGGGTGGTGTTTGTGTGGGTATTTCGTTATGTTATATATGTCTTTAAGCTGTTCTTGTAACCTTTGGGGTGAGTGTGACCTTGGGCAGGCTACTTAAGCTTTCTAGACCTCAGTTTTTCCTTTTTTATTTATATTTTGTGGTATGGGGTTTGAACTCAGGGCTTTGTGCTTGCTAGGCAGGTGTTCTACCACTTGAGCCAGGTTTCCCACCCCAGGTTTTTCATTTTTAAGTGGCAGTAATCGTATCTGCCACTTGGATTATACAGATTAAAGGAGGTTAAGAGTTTAGAATAACCTAAAGCTCTGTTAACTATTATTATTCGTGATGCTTTATGGTGTGCAGTATTTCATATAGAAAAAGCAACAGGAAAGTGGAGCAAATTTGGAAGTGGCTGAAGCTAAGCAGTAGCCACAGGGCTTTCCTGCAGGCATCATTACTTTGGTAAAAGGATTTAGCCCCACCCCTTTCTAACCTCCCTGTGGTCCATGCCCTGTGGTGCTTCAGTTTGAGGACATATCTTCTCAACAGCATTCTCCCCGCCCCCCCCCCCGCCCCCCTCACTCCTTTGGTGGTAGCAGTTTGAACTGGGGGTTTGTGCTTCCTAGGCTCTTGCTCTACTGCTTGAGTCGTACCAGCCTTAGGGGTGTATGTTGTATGCAGAAATAAATGTAGTTTCTGAAATCATTTAAATCTCCAGGCTGGCTTTCTTTGAGGAATGGAAAGTCCTAACAAAGCCTTAGGGGCCTCTCTCTCTGGGCTGCATCCTCTGCGGAGGGAGGGTTTGGGCCTGGGCTCTGGACTTCTTGAGGGAGGACCCATCTTGGATCTGTGTTTCTGCTTACTGCAGTGATGGCCCCGTACTGCCACTTTTATTTTCCCAACTTTTTCACCCTCTCCCCTTTCCTCAGATCTTGTATGTCTGTTCTTTTTGCCTGGAATTTTCTGTCTGCCCCATTTGTCTTAGGTCTGGCTGTAAATGCCTTTTTTTTTTTTTGTTTTAAAGGAGCAACCAGGACTGGGTTTAATGTGCGCCCATGGCATATTCTTGTAGGAATCATCACAGAATGTTATAATACCAGTTTATTTTTTGCTTTTATAAGTAAATTGTAAGGCCTTTAATAGTTTGGGATGTATTGTACGTACTTTCACCTCCCCAGTACCCTGTCACAGAGTTGGTATACAAGTGTTTGTTAAATTTTATTGAAAAATTTTAGAATATAAAAGCAAACATTTGGCATAATTAAAATATTGTGCTATTGGCATAGGAATGAAAGGAAAATGGAAACTGAAAAGAGACTCAATGTCGTATATTAAAGAAGATGTCCTCAAATCAGTGGGGACGAGGGGTTACTTAATGTCATTGGACCTATTGCTTTTTTTTTTTTAAGGTTTCCTATAAACACTATGTAGTAAAATAAAACAAACTCTAGGTGGATTGAGAGGGTTTAAAGAAGAAAATACAGATGTATGGTGTGAGCACACAGTTGATTATTTATGCAGTCTCAGAAGGGGTGGGCTTTTCTAAGTATAACCTCAAACTCGAACCATGCAAAAGGAGGAGAGTGGTGAACCTGGCCTCCCTTGGCCAGGACAGATGTACCACCCATGTTAGTTTTCTCTTGTTGCCCTTATAAGTCACCTCAGACTCACTTGGCTTACAGGAGCACAGACTATACCTTAAGGTTCTGGAGGTCAGAAGTCTGGCACAGATTTCTCTGGGCTAAAATCAAGCAGTTGGCAGGACTGGTTCCTTCTGGAGGCTCCAGGGTAGAACTGTTTCCTTACGTTTTGAAGCACTCACCACCTCTGTCTTGCAGCCCCCCCCAACTCTCAGTCTTCAACCCCTTTCTTGACTTTTATAGTCATGTTCCTCTTGACCCTCTGACTACAGCTGGGGGAGGTTCCACTGGATAACCCAGGATAATCTCCAAGGTTCATATTCTTAATCACGTCTTCAGAGTCCCTTTTGCCATGTAAGTTGACACATTTACGAGCTCTGGGCACCAGCACATGCACCTGTTTGGTAGGGCTGCTATTTACTTATCACATCACCCAAATGGCCAAGAAGGAATTCTCTTTTTACGGATTAGTGAGGGTGAACACCCTGTTAGCAAATGGACAAAGACTATAGACAATTTACAAAAAAGAAGAGGTACAAATGAACAACATAATAAACTTGTTCAATCCTACTCATAATCAAGAAGGCATATAGCTTGTATTGAGACCACTTTTTTCTGTGAAATTAGCAACGACTGGCAGTCCTTCTGACCTTGCTGGTGGGAATAGGAATTACCTACTATCCTGGCATTGTGAACCAGAGCCTCCCATGGTTTTAAAAGGCTTTTTATTTTGAAATAATTATAGGCTTACAAGAGTTGCAGATGTATGTATAGGAAGGTCTGGGTACTCTTTACCTTATCTTATGCTTTCAAATTTGCATATGCAGTATGTTCTTTGTATATCAAACAATACATATAGGACAAATGAATGATTTAAGTAAACTGAAGAACAATGAAATAATGATATGAGGAAGTAATCATAATCTATTAGTACATAAAGAAGATAGGATTTCATTAAAAATTAAGACATTCTTTCTGTATATATAAACTGGGCTTTATCTGTATTTATCTTTGGGTCCATCTGGCCACGGCACATCCAAGTACATCACAACATTATAGTGGTTGTCTCTGCCATGATGACTGTACCAGTTAGAATGTCTGATGGTACTGGTCTGATGGTATCACTTCAACTCATAGTGATTTATTTCATGTCCTTGGAAGTTGAGGGAGGTCAGTTTGGGCTGGCAGCTCCGTAAAGCTATTGCTCACCCATTCTTTTTATCTCCTGTCCTGTCACCCTTCATGGGTAGCTTCATTTCTCAGGCTTACCTCTCACACTTGTGAAGTGCCAGAAGATCCCAAGCTTCTCCTTTGTGTGTCAACAGCCTTGTAACTAAGCTGGTTTTATTTATATTTATTTGGTACATTTTTAATGTATTTCATCATAACATTTTCATACATGTATATAGCCTGCCTGTTTTTGTTAGGAAAGTAACAGCTTCCATTTCTTTTTCCCTGGCCTGGCCAGTTAACTTTGGCTACCCTGGCTGTAATCAGCCAAGATATGGACTGAGCTTATCACTCATGTCTGCTATGTAGGTTACTTTATTTCCATCTCTTTTCCAGATGTACTGTGATGAACATAAGAGTTTGATAATAAATCCATTACATCTTTACAACAGTTCTACTTTTCTTTTGGTAATCCTGCAATCTTCATATACAGTGAGAATCCCCAGCAGGGCATTTCCTGGTGGGTTTTAGTCCTGCCTGTGAAATGCTGCCAGGAGCAGAGGCTGCAGTGTCCCTCGGTGAGTGCCTGGGGCTCTATGCTGAGGCACTTGTGCAGGGCTTGCTCTCAGGAAGGGCCTGAATACCCTTCCTGTTCTTGGGATGTGGGTCTGTATGGCACCATTCATCCCTCCGCTACTGGACTCAGGACCTTGGGTGGCTAGAGATGGACATATGGCAGCTGATGTAATGCTGCTCCTCCTGGTCGTGTGGGGCACTAGTTGCTCGCTCTTCTCTGGATTCAGTGGAGGGCTCTTAGCAAATCTGAAGAAAGGCTAATTTGTGTTCTCCTTTTTTTATTAGCATCCAGCATGTGTATGGAGCCCAGCACCCCCCTTTCGATCCACTGTTACATGGCACGTAAGTGAACTTCCCCTCCCTTGGCTTCACGGCTCTGCTTCCAGGAGGGCCAAGATTGCCAGTACTTTCCTGGAATCCCTGAGGGGGAGGAAGTGGTCTCTCATTCAGCCAGCATGAGTTAGGTGGTTGCTCTGTGTGAGATACTGCTGTCCTTGCATAGTTTATCCTGCAGTGGGCAGTGAACATGCAGCCTGAGGCTCAATGTGGAGTGAGGTGATGGTGCCCCATGGGAGAGCAGGAAGCTAGTATCCCTCAGCTGTTCGGCATCCTGGCTGTTGGCTCATCTGACTCCCTGCCTCTCTCCTGTGCTCTCTACCCTGGGTCCTGGCTCCTCCAGAGGAGTGGAGGCACCGTCCAATACATTTCCTGACTTGTGGTGGGGCTAATGTATGTTGCTGTGTTTTTTTTTTTTTTTTTCATTTTTCTTTTATTATTCATATGTGCATACAAGGCTTGGTTCATTTCTCCCCCCTGCCCCCACCCCTCCCTTACCACCCACTCCACCCCTCCCCTCCCCCCTCAATACCCAGCAGAAACTATTTTGCCCTTATCTCTAATTTTGTTGTAGAGAGAGTATAAGCAATAATAGGAAGGAACAAGGGGTTTTGCTGGTTGAGATAAGGATAGCTATACAGGGCATTGACTCACATTGATTTCCTGTGCGTGGGTGTTACCTTCTAGGTTAATTCTTTTTGATCTAACCTTTTCTCTAGTTCCTGGTCCCCTTTTCCTATTGGCCTCAGTTGCTTTAAGGTATCTGCTTTAGTTTCTCTGCATTAAGGGCAACAAATGCTAGCTAGTTTTTTAGGTGTCTTACCTATCCTCACCCCTCCCTTGTGTGCTCTCGCTTTTATCATGTGCTCATAGTCCAATCCCCTTGTTGTGTTTGCCCTTGATCTAATGTCCACATATGAGGGAGAACATACGATTTTTGGTCTTTTGAGCCAGGCTAACCTCACTCAGAATGATGTTCTCCAATTCCATCCATTTACCAGCGAATGATAACATTTCGTTCTTCTTCATGGCTGCATAAAATTCCATTGTGTATAGATACCACATTTTCTTAATCCATTCGTCAGTGTGGGGCATCTTGGCTGTTTCCATAACTTGGCTATTGTGAATAGTGCCGCAATAAACATGGATGTGCAGGTGCCTCTGGAGTAACAGTCTTTTGGGTATATCCCCAAGAGTGGTATTGCTGGATCAAATGGTAGATCGATGTCCAGCTTTTTAAGTAGCCTCCAAATTTTTTTCCAGAGTGGTTGTACTAGTACATTCCCACCAACAGTGTAAGAGGGTTCCTTTTTCCCCGCATCCTCGCCAACACCTGTTGTTGGTGGTGTTGCTGATGATGGCTATTCTAACAGGGGTGAGGTGGAATCTTAGTGTGGTTTTAATTTGCATTTCCTTTATTGCTAGAGATGGTGAGCATTTTTTCATGTGTTTTTGGCCATTTGAATTTCTTCTTTTGAGAAAGTTCTGTTTAGTTCACTGCCCATTTCTTTATTGGTTCATTAGTTTTGGGAGAATTTAGTTTTTTAAGTTCCCTATATATTCTGGTTATCAGTCCTTTGTCTGATGTATATTGGCAAATATTTTCTCCCACTCTGTGGGTGTTCTCTTCAGTTTAGAGACCATTTCTTTTGATGAACAGAAGCTTTTTAGTTTTATGAGGTCCCATTTATCTATGCTATCTCTTAGTTGCTGTGCTGCTGGGGTTTCATTGAGAAAGTTCTTACCTATACCTACTAACTCCAGAGTATTTCCTACTCTTTCTGTATCAACTTAAGAGTTTGGGGTCTGATATTAAGATCCTTGATCCATTTTGAGTTAATCTTGGTATAGGGTGATATACATGGATCTAGTTTCAGTTTTTTGCAGACTGCTAACCAGTTTTCCCAGCAGTTTTTGTTGAAGAGGCTGCTATTTCTCCATCGTATATTTTTAGCTCCTTTGTCAAAGATAAGTTGCTTATAGTTGTGTGGCTTCATATCTGGATCCTCTATTCTGTTCCACTGGTCTTCATGTCTGTTTTTGTGCCAGTACCATGCTGTTTTTATTGTTATTGCTTTGTAATATAGTTTGAAGTCAGGTATTGTGATACCTCCTGCATTGTTCTTTTGACTGAGTATTGCCTTGGCTATTCGTGGCCTCTTGTGTTTCCATATAAATTTAACAGTAGATTTTTCAATCTCTTTAATGAATGTCATTGGAATTTTGATGGGAATTGCATTAAACATGTAGATTACTTTGGGAGTATCGACATTTTTACTATGTTGATTCTACCAATCCATGAGCATGGGAGATCTCTCCACTTTCTATAGTCTTCCTCAATCTCTTTCTTCAGAAGTGTATAGTTTTCCTTGTAGAGGTCTTTCACATCTTTTGTTAGGTTTACACCTAGGTATTTGATTTTTTTTGAGGCTATTGTAAATGGAATTGTTTTCATATATTCTTTTTCAGTTTGTTCATTATTAGTGTATAGAAATGCTAATGATTTTTCTATGTTGATTTTATATCCTGCTACCTTGCTATAGCTATTGATGATGTCTAGAAGCTTCTGAGTAGAGTTTTTTGGGTCTTTAAGGTATAGGATCATGTCGTCTGCAAATAGGGATATTTTGACAGTTTCTTTACCTATTTGTATTCCTTTTATTCCTTCTTCTTGCCTAATTGCTCTGGCTAGGAATTCCAGTACTATGTTGAATAGGAGTGGAGATAGTGGGCATCCTTGTCTGGTTCCTGATTTTAGAGGGAATGGTTTTAATTTTTCTCCATTAAGTATAATGCTGGCTGTAGGTTTGTCATATATAGCTTTTATAATGTTGAGGAACTTTCCTTCTATTCCTAGTTTTCTTAGAGCTTTTATCATGAAATGATGTTGGATCTTATCAAAGGCTTTTTCTGCATCTATTGAGATGATCAAGTGGTTTTTGTCTTTGCTTCTGTTAATGTGGTTTATTACGTTTATTGATTTTCGTATGTTGAACCACCCCTGCATCCCTGGGATGAAGCCTACCTGGTCGTGGTGAATAATCTTTTTGATGTGTTGCTGAATTCGATTTGCCATTATTTTGTTGAGGATTTTTGCATCAATGTTCATTAAGGAGATTGGCCTATAGTTCTCCTTTTTGGAGGTGTCTTTGCCTGGTTTTGGGATAAGTGTAATACTGGCTTCATAAAATGTGTTTGGCAGTTTTCCTTCCCTTTCTATTTCATGGAACAGTTTAAGGAGGGTTGGTATCAGTTCTTCTTTAAAGGTCTGATAGAATTCAGCAGAGAATCCATCAGGTCCTGGACTTTTCTTTTTGGGGAGACTCTTGATTGCTGCTTCAATTTCATTTTGTGTTATACGTCTATTCAGGTGATTAATTTCCTCTTGGTTCAGTTTTGGATGATCATATGTATCTAGAAATCTGTCCATTTCTTTTAGATTTTCAAATTTATTTGAATATAGGTTCTCAAAGTAGTCTCTGATGATTTCCTGGACTTCCATGGTGTTTGTTGTTATCTCCCCTTTTGCATTCCTGATTCTACTAATTTGGGTTTTTTCTCTCCTTATTTTAGTCAGGTTTGCCAGGGGTCTATCGATCTTGTTTATTTTTCCAAAGAACCAACTTTTTGTTTCATTAATTCTTTGTATGGTTTTTTTGGTTTCTATTTTGTTGATTTCAGCTCTTATTTTTATTATTTCTCTCCTTCTATTTGTTTTGGGATTTGCTTGTTCTTGTTTTTCTAGGAGTTTGAGATGTATCATTAGGTCATTGATTTGGGATCTTTCAATCTTTTTAATATATGCACTCATGGCTATAAACTTTCCTCTCAAGACTGCCTTAGCTGTGTCCCATAGGTTCCGGTAGGTTGTGTTTTCATTTTCATTGACTTCTAGGAACTTTTTAATTTCCTCTTTTATTGCATCGATGATCCATTCTTCATTAAGTAATGAGTTATTTAGTTTCCAGCTGTTTGCATGTTTTTTGTCTTTACTTTTGTTGTTGAGTTCTACTTTTACTGCATTGTGGTCAGATAGTATGCACGGTATTATTTCTATTTTCTTATATTTGCTGAGGCTTGCTTTGTGCCCTAGGATATGATCTATTTTGGAGAAGGTTCCATGGGCTGCTGAGAAGAATGTATATTGTGTAGAGGTTGGATGAAATGTTCTGTAGACATCTACTAGGTCCACTTGATCTATTGTGTTGCTGTGTTTAGGGGAATCTCCTTTAAATGATACTGTCTCTACGTCTGTGTGGCAAAGTCTGTGTTCTCTGTACAGTCCCTCCTTCTCTGTACCCCTCAGCTGTGCTTTGGGAAGGTGCTGGGAGTGTGAAAATGGGTTTGCAGGCCCTGGCACCATTGCCCTGCAGGCCTATGCTGACCCCCAGAGTTTGGTCAGGTTGCTGAAGCTGTGCAGCCTGGTTCTCCACATCTGTTCCTCTCCCCCCACCCCCAGTTTTCCTGTACTTTGCCTACTCATTTTTAAGTCTCTATGAGTTGTATTTGCTTTTCATGTTGCTCTCATGACTATCTTCTAGATATCTAGATGTATCCCAGGTTTGAACTTTATAGGCAAGTGCTCTACCAATTGAACTGCATCCCCAGTGCTTCTGGCTGATTTAGGGTGAATACTGTAAAGCCTCCAAGTGTGAACTTTAAAGATGTCTTTGTTTTGCAGCTTGCTCAGGTCCACACCAAAGGTGCCGACTACTCCAGCCAAGGCCAAGAGGGTCAGCACCTTTCAGGAGTTTGAGAGCAACACCAGTGATGCCTGGGATGCGGGAGAAGATGACGATGAGCTCCTGGCCATGGCAGCAGAGAACCTTAATACTGAAGTGGTCATGGAGACAGCCCACCGTGTTCTGCGCAACCACAGCCAGCGGCAGGGCCAGCCCACACTACAGGAGGTGCCAGCAACCAAGCAGGAGCCAAAGCCTATGGCAGAGCCACCCGTGGCTGAGCCATCAGCAGCCCCAAGTGGTGACCTCCGGCTGGTGAAGTCAGTCAGTGAGAGCCACACGTCCTGTTCCACAGGTAGGTGGAGAGTGCTGATTAGGTGATGTACATTTCCAGCAGAGTAAGAAAGGATTGCCATACTCTTTCGTGGAAGATGAGGCTCTGGTTTGCAGCAGGACTCCTGCCATGAAGGCTTTAGGGCCACTTCCATCCAGCTGTGGCTCTACCAGGCAGGGAGGCAGCCTGCACTTGGGGTCCTCATGTGCTTTTCTTTGTACCTCCAAGGTGAATGCATCTCTCCTCCAAATGGGCCAGGAGAGGGCCACTGGGGAGCACGGGTTCGGAGACCCTGTCTCCTTTTAAGGACACCAGCTGTGCCGTGGACTGTCATGCATACCTCTCCCCAAGGTCAAGGCATGCTCTTCACATTTACAGATGAGAAAATGGTGTTCACTAATAGTAGCCTAAGGTCACCTGTTACTAGATGTTGAACTAGGTTTCATACCTAGTCTAGTTTTCAAAAATGCCTTCCAGGAATTAAAGTGTTTCTAAAATGTTGCAGGTCTTTTTAGTTAGCAGTGCTCTGAGTCATATAGAATTATGTGACCTATAAGTAGAAATCCGATTGTGGCTTTTGCAGTTGACTAAAAGTTCTCATAACTACTTCCTGCCATCTGCATGCTCAGTTTGGGCAGGATGCCTTCCAGCAGTGGGAGACTTGTAGAGCCATGTTCATTGTGAGACTTAGCAGCGATCTAGGTGACCACTCAAGCCCTTCAGGGCCTGACTGGAGCCTCTGTGGTATCTGTCATTGTTGGGGATGGTCTCGAGCACCCCAGATACAGGGGCTGAGAGTGGGCAGGACCACATGGTATGTTGTTGGGGGCTCCTCACTAGAAGTAAGCTCAGGCTGCATCCAGCCAAGTGGAGGAGTCATGGCATGTCATCTGGGGATGCTTCCTCCTGTAGGATCGAAGTGAATGGTGCTAGAGGCAGCCGCTAGCTGGAGAAGGGGGTCCATGACCTTATTGCTTGATCCCTCCACCTGCTGTGGGTGTTGGCCATCTTTTCTGTGCTTGCTTTTTGGGCAGTCCTTTTTTTTGAGTGGTACTGGAGTTTGAACTCAGGGCCTCATGCCTACTAGGCAGGCATTCTACTACTTGAACAACTCCACCAGCTCTTTCCTGTGTAGGGTGTTTTTGAGATAGGATCTCACAAACTATTTGCCTGGGCTGGCCTCAAACTGCCATCTTCCTGATCTCTGCCTTCTGAATAGGTAGTAATACAGACATGAGCCACTGGCACCCGGCTGGGGTGAGCCTTTTTTGAGCACTTTAGTATAATAACGACAATGCTAATGGTAACAATGATAGTAGCATTTCTTGATCATTTACTGTGTGACAAGTAGATCAGTCAGCCCCTTTGATAACTAACTCATTAGACTTCATAGCAGTTCCTTAAACTCATCAAACTTGTTGGAGGGAAGATGTGTTGTTACTCTTTTTTTTTTTCTTCACAAAGCAGACGCTATGAAGGCCCTGAGATGCTCACCCAGTGATGGGACTGGGGTTCACATCCAGGACGTCACACTGATGGTCTCTTAAGGTCTAGGGAAACACAGCAGAGCAACTTTAGTTCTGGGACATAGCTTGGTGCTATTCTTCCTGGTGAATGGTTTCCTAGAGAATCACAAATGTAGCCCAAGCCGTACCTCTAGAGGAGGGATGAAGGAACTGAGTCTCACCACCCCTGCCCTCCCGTCATGCTCCATCTGGCTCTTAGGCCTTCCCTAAGCTGAGGTCAGGGGAGGAGGCATCTATCTGGATGCTGCCGGGTAGGGAGGAAAGGGAGCAGAGATTGCCAGGAGTCTGTGCCCCCATTTATCAGGCTTTTCTAGAAATTTAACTGGGCCAGATTCTGCCCTGAGACCCTGGGTTGCTTGGCTCCTAGATTGCCTGAGGGTTGCAGTGTGACTGATGCCCTCCTGTGCAGAGTGCTGGGAGTGAGGCTCTCACCCTTCAGCTCGTCTACAGCTGCTAAAGGTGGACATTAGTGTGTGGGCATTTTTCTGAGCTGTTTCTTAGAATTTGGTTTTTACTTCTACTCTAATTTTTATGTTTTGAAAGATGAGATTGCTATGTGGGATTTAGACGTATGGGTCAGAGCCCTCAGAGCCTCTTGCCTATTGTTCCTGGGTGGTGCTGTGTTGAGCGACCTGGGGGCCTTTGGCTGCTCTCAGGGCTGTCCCTCGCCTAGGTTCCTGGGTGGAATATTCTATCTCATTTCCTGCTTGTTCTCCATGGGTCAGTGGGGCCTTTATGTGCAGCAGTGGGGAACACTGGGCGAGGGTGGGCAAGCATGTGTTCTGGTGTCACCTTGGTCTCTGCCCACTAGAGGTCCTCAGTTGCCTTGTGCCCTCTGGTTCCCTGTGCTGAGCATGGGAAGGTCAGGAGGCAGCAGTGTCCCACAGACTGGGCTCTGTTGATAGCAGGAAGGGTCCCTTGCAGCATCCTGGTCACTTGCTTCCTGTCCTCAGTGCCTTTGTGGCCTTCATCCTTTTCCCTCACAGTGACTCAATGGATTGCCCACAGGCCTGGGTAACTCACACACCTCTCTTCTCAGCAGATCTTTGGGTTCTGTCTTCTGGACTGGCCTGATCTGCCCTCCAGGGCTGATGGCAGTCTGACCACTGTCACACCTGAGGAGGTCAGTCTCAAGTTTTCTGGCTGTCATGATTTGCTTTTATGGGGGCATATCTAGTTTTTGGGTAAATACCACTCTGCCAGTGAGGAAGATTAGTTTCACAGGTGTCAGTTCATTTTATTGCTCAGTAAACCAGCTGCCAGTTGGCAATTGCCAAGGTCCCAACTGCTGGGTGATGGGAGGGAGGGAGAGTTGGAACTGACAGTGTTCACAAAGGGCCTGTGGCGTGGCAAGCATCAGGCTGTCTGGATGAAGGGAGAGCACATGGTCAGGAGCAATCTGCAGGCACAGTCTCACCCTCATCTCCCATTCTCTCATCCCTGCAGAAAGCACCAGTGATGCGATCCCTCTGCAGAGGTCCCAGTCTCTTCCACACTCGGCCACCGTTGCACTGGGTGGGACATCTGACCTGAGCACCCTTGGCAGCTCAGCACTGAGTAAGAGAGAGTCCTCCCGGCTTGACAAGTTCAAACAGCTGCTTGCTGGCCCCAACACAGACCTTGGTGAGTCCTGGTTGGCCAGAGGCTAAGAGCAGTTGTTTCTGGTCCTCTGTAAAGGAGACCATGTGAATTGTTACAGTGCATGCACGATGCGCTTGTATTTCCATGCCGCTGGGTCCTGAGGTACTGGTAGTTGTGCTGCTAGTCTCCTTTAGATGAGCTTTGTTAGTGCATTTCCAGTGCACTTTCCTAGTGTATTTTCTGCTCTTTTTTTGGTTAATGCCGCAACACACCTTTCCTACTGCTATCTTTAGAGAGCCCTGCAAGGCTGGCAAAGTGGTCAGCCCTGCTTTTCATAGGCCATAGGTTAAAGACAGCGGCTCAT